GGGGGGGGGGGGGGGGGGGGGGGGGGGGGGGGGGGGGGGGGGGGGGGGGGGGGGGGGGGGGGGAAGCGCACACCTTCGGACACAGGCAAGGAAAAGACGGAAAGAAAATGTGCATCAACGTGCACGGGTGGGAGATGAGGATGGCGATGGCGAGGAAGACAAGGTGGGGCACCACATCTCTCTCTCTTTGCGCGCGTGTGCACACCCTGACACATGCACACATACACACACGCACGAAACTTTACATGGATGGACAAATGAATCGGCAGATTGAGGGAGAGGGAGGGAGAAGTATGGTAGGCGGAAGGTGGGGTGCAGAGAAATAGAGGGAGGTGGAGAGATGAGAGGGGAGGGAGGGGTTTGGCGAGATTGAGGGAGGTGATTGGAGGGGAGAGAGGTGAACATATCGGATGGGAGGGAGGGGATTTGCGAGCTGCCGGTGGAGAGATTGGAGGGTGGGGGGTAAGGAGATTGGTGAGGTGGAGGTAGAGAGATCGAAGGGGATTTGGAGGGAGGTGATTGGCGAGGGTGAGGTGGAGAGGGAGTTGAAGAGATCAGAAAGGAGGGAGGGGACTGACGAAGGGAGAAAGGTGTAGAGAGAGGAGAGAGAGGCAGATGGATAGGGGAGGGAGTTAATGCGAAAGGCAAAGCGATAGGGAGGAGGGTTCTGAGTTGAGGGAGGGGATTGACGAGGTGGGGTGAGGTGATTGGTTAGGGGAGAGGTGGAAAGGGAAGTGTAGAGGTCGGAGGGGAGGGAGGAGATTGGTGAGGGGAGAAAGCGGTATAGATATAGAGGAGCGAGGCAGATGGGTAGGGGAGGGATGGGATTGGTGAGGTGGAGGGAGGCAGATGGTCTAGGGGAGGGAGGGGAATTGCAAGGGGAGAAACAGGCGGATGAAGACGGATGCGGAAGGGCTGACCATGTCGCTTGTTCGTTTCAGGTCGACATGGGTTCAAGGGCGAGGCGGCAGGCCAGGTTGTTGAAGAAGTCAACGATGAGAACAAGAGGGAGCAAGTTGGTGAAAGTGCAACATGGCATCGACAGAAGCTCGTTCGTTGCTAGCGAGGGTCGTTTTGCCTTCACAAGTAGGTAAGCGTTTTCCAAACCTGAGGAACAGGGTTATTTCTTGATTTGCTTGTGTGGTCCTTGCTCAGGGGCCATGTTAATCTTCCCTTGGTAGCAAGTGTCATCCCCATTCTAACAGATATCCCACAGGTGTGGGGACACAGGTGTGGGATCGACAAATCAAGGAGTTGATCTGTGTTTGTCTGGTGTTCTCTGTTTCTTGGCTGCAGGAACTTCATTTTGTTGTCTCCTCCTGCTCGTCTTTCAGTAGCAGTAGCGACGAGAATCACTTCTTACTACACCGTGGACGAGGACAGTTTCTTACTTCACCGTGCACGAGGACAGTTTCGTACTATACCGTGGACGAGGACAGCAGTAGTGATGTCCAGTCCACACTTCAGCGTTGGTCCTCTGGTTTCCCGCGCCTGGGTTGCTAAGAAAACACCATGGTATTGTCGGACAGTACCGCGTATCACGGTGTATCTCCCGTTGGCAATTTGCATGTATCTTACCCCAACATTTTCGTGAAGTTATGTAGTGGAAGTTCCCTGCTTCGCCCTGTCAAAGGCCGTAAGGAGTGATATGTATGCCGTACTGCGATATCCCAGGCCATTTGCGACATCTGCCCTGTCGCACCAGGTATGTGTGCATTTGCAAAACTGGTGGAAACATTGTGTCATCACAGAAAATGTCTACATCTACATCTATCTACATCTACATCTATCTACATCTACAATACTATAAGAATCGCTAACGTCATATCTACCGGCCCAGGTTCCGGCCTGGTCACCACCCGCGGACGGCCCAGATCGCAGGCCGATGAGAAATTTTTCTCATCGGCCTGCGATCTGGGCCGTCTGCAGGTGGTGACCGGCCCGCAATCTGGGCCGTGAGACCGATTCGGCCCCTCTGAACGCGCGCCCGCGCCCAGCCCTGAAATCGCCCTTCGAAGGGGCGGGCTTCTCAATTGTCTCGGCCGCCACGGCACGCGACGGCACGCTACGGCAAGCGACGGCACGCGATGGCACGCGACGGCACGACGTGCTCATCGTCCTCTCTCTCTCTCTCTCTCTCTCTCTCTCTGTGTTTGGTGCTCGGTGCTCATCGTGGATACGTGCTTTTCGTCACGTGCTGATCGTGGATCCGTGCTTTGGTGCATGATCACGTGCTGATCGTGGATCCGTGCTTTTCTTTGGTGCATGATCACGCGCTCATCGTCGATCCGTGCTTTTTGTGCTCATCGTCGATCCGTGCTTTTCGTGCTCATCGTCGATCCGTGCTTTTGGTGCTCGGTGCTCATCGTGGATACGTGGTCATTGATCCGAGCTTTTCTTTGGTGCATGATCACGTGCTCATCGTCGATCCGTGCTTTTCGTGCTCATCGTCCATCCGTGCTTTTGGTGCTCGGTTCTCATCGTGGATACGTGCTCGTCGTGGATTCGTGCTCATTGGGGATCGGTGCTTTTCTTTGGTGCTCGGTGCTCATCGTTGATCCGTGCTTTTCGTGCTCATCTTGGATACATGCTTTTCGTGCGCCGTGCTTTTCTTTGGGGCTCGGTGCTCATCGTTGATCCGTGCTTTTCGTGCTCATCGTGGATACATGCTTTTCGTGCTCGGTGCTCATGGTGGATCCGTGCTCTCTCTCTCTCTCTCTCGGGCCGTCCGCTCTGCTCCATCGAGAGAGAGAGAGAGAGGCACCAGAGGCACCATCACCATCCCTCCTGCCTCGGCCCGTCCTCCATTCCTGCCTCGACCCTCTCTCCTCCCTCCCTCCACCCCATCGMCCCTCCCTCGCTCCCTTTCTCCTTCCTTATTTCCTCCCTCGCCTTCTCCCTCCTCCCTCCGGTGGCGTTACCTACACCGGCCCTCCGTCCTCCCTCGCTTCCTGCTCTATTATCTGGGGACGATATAGAGAGTGCATTCCGTTTTTCTTAGCTTTTTCAATTTGCGTCAAGGCTTAGCGCCACTTTTTTTTCAATGTGAATAAGGGCGAGCGTGTGCTCTCGCGCGTGCGGTCGCACACAGCGAAGGGTGTGGATGTGGGTCGGGGGGTGGAGAGAGAGAGAGAGAGAGAGAGAGAGAGAGAGAGAGCTGACTCAGTGTGGTGTGTGTAGGGATTGGGGAGGAAGAGAGTGAAATATGGAAAGAAATATCGATAGCCTGAAATACCTGGCGCAGGGCAGTTAATCATGAGGCCGCTCCAAAAAGAACAGACCGAGGGAGAATGTCGAGGAGGAAGATCTTGAGGAGGCAGAAGATGTGGTGGTGGAAGAGACGGACAAGGACAAAGAAAGTGCGAGGAAGGAAGTGTGTTGGGTGAAATGCGTTTTTCTCTCTCCTGCTTTCCCTCTCTCCTTCTTGCGCGTGTGTAACAGTGTTGAGATCTTAAAAAAATGGAGTGATCTTGATAACAAACGGCGCGTTTACGTCCAAGGATAAAGCAAAATAAGTATTTCTTACGTCGGGCGTTAGGAAGGAAGGGTGGGCGGTCGAGGGAGGAAGGGGGAGGTAGGGAGTAGGACGGAGGGAGGAATGGAAGTAGGAGGTCAGGTGGTGATCGGGCTGAGGAAGGAAGGGAAGGGAGGAGATCGAGGGAAGGAGGAGGTCAGACAGAGATCAGGCGAACGAAGGGGGCGAGCGAAGGGGAATGAGGCGGTCAGGCGGACGGAGGCCAGGGGGAGGTTGAAGAGAAGGTGTGGAGGAGGCCTGTAGGAGGTCAGGTGGAGACCGGGCCAAGGAAGGGGGAGTAGGACGGAGGAGATAGAGGGGAGGTCAGGCGGAGAAAGGAAAGGGAGTCAGGTGGCCAGGTGAGGGAGGGCAGAGGGAGGTTTAAGAGAAGGTCCAGAGGAGGCCGGGAGAAAAGGGAGGCGGAAGGGTTAGGGCGAAGGGAGGACAGAAAGCAGAACGTAGTTCAGAGCTTGAGTGACGTATGGAGGAAGGGAAGAGGTAAGGGGGAGACGAGCATGGGAAAAAGCGTGAAGAGGAAGAGGAAGTGGGAGGAGGCCGGGAGGAAGGGGAAAGACGGCAGGGTGAAGTCGGGCGGTGGGAGGGCAGATGGAAGGAGGGACGGCAGAGGTTGGGTGTGTGACGGAGCAAGGGAAGAGGTCAGGTAAAGGTGGGGGGGGAGAGAGAGAGAGAGAGAAATGGATTGAAGAGAGACGGAGAATGAAGAGGGGCGCGTGAGAATTGGGGAAAGGAGGGGAGAGAAGGGCAGCAGAAGCCACAGTAGGACGAGGGGAGGAAAGAATTTGAAGAGGTGCAGAGCGATAGCGCGGGTGGAGTTTGAGGAAGAGGAGGGGGCGCATGGCACAACGTCATGGGAGGGAAGGGACAGTCAACGGGTAAGGATGGTACAGTGACAAAGGGGAAGAGTGGGAGGGGTAGCGGTACATGTCATGGATGGGGGAAAGATGGGGGGAGGGGGAAGGGCTAAGGTGGAGTTTGGAAGGGCCAAAATCACGCCGCGAGCGATTTTTTCTGTATTTCTTTTTTTCCCCCTTATGTGTGCTTTTGTGTGTGTGTGTGTGTATGTGTGTGTGTGTGTGTGTGTGTGTGTGT